CATTGAATTATTTTGAATTTATACGAATTTCAATTAGCGTCTTTATTTCGAGCTATTATTGTCTTTTCGAAATCTTTAAAAATATTTGAGTTTCATTACATTTGACGGTATTCCAATAAAATTTGAGATTCGGAGAGAATGTATACACGTCGTGGTGTCTGTTCATGGGTTTCTGTTTATCACCTGTTCAATCGTAATAAAAACAATAATGAATTGTTGAACCGACATATTATTTTAACTCTCGTGAAAACCGGAACTTGATCGATATCATTGGATATATTTCAATATATGTATTTCCAATATGAATTTTATAAGGAAACAAAATAAATATTTTAAAACTTATTATACGTTCGGTTTTTGTATACGAGCTTTCAATTTTGACGATTACGATAGATCGATGGAGCCCCTACCGATAATAACGAGTCTTGTCATTTAATAAATACTAAGCATATCGTAAAATTTTCATGCAATACAATAATAATTGTCAACAACTAACGGAACTTCATGAAAACGTATAAAGTACGACTTTAGAATAAAGTGCACCAGTATATAATATTATTATATGTGCACAGTTGTGGAATGTGGGCGTAAATAGACCAATCACAATGACAAATGTTCACGATTGACTTCAACGGTGAAGGAATAACGTCGTTCAATAAAAATCACACCCGCAAAATTATAATTTGCGTAATTACTGGCGGTAGGACCTCTTGTGAGTCCGCGCGGGTAGGTACCACCGTCCTGCCTATTTCTGCCGTGAAGCAGAAATGCATTTCGGTTTGAATGGTGGGGCAGTCGTTATAACTATACTTGGGACCTTAGAACTTATATCTCAAGGTGGGCGGCGCATTTACGTTGTAGACTCTATGGGCTCCAGTAACCACTTAACATCAGGTGGGCTGTGAGCTAGTTCACCCACCAAAGCAATAAAAAAAAAATTACATGTGTGCAATTCACACGTGGTAGAAGTGAAACCTTCCAAAATTAAAATACAATTATCCTAAACGTCTTAAGTATATGTAAAATTTTGTCATTAGTAAATAATTGTAAGGTAGCGCCCTCTGTGAATTGATATTTTAATTTCACGTATAATCCTAAATTAAAATTCACTACAAGAGCTTTCATACANCAATTATCCTAAACGTCTTAAGTATATGTAAAATTTTGTCATTAGTAAATAATTGTAAGGTAGCGCCCTCTGTGAATTGATATTTTAATTTCACGTATAATCCTAAATTAAAATTCACTACAAGAGCTTTCATACACACGTTAGTATTAAAAAATCTCACAGATGGCGCTGTATTAAATAGTATGTATATTTCTGTCTCATTCTTCGCTGGCTTCATCCTACACATTTTCGTATTTGTGTCTCTTACCTGTCGTTTTTTCCGTTGCATCCGGTTTGAAATCACAACGATTCTAAAGAAGTTTTCACTTCAAAAATCTTCAATGTCAAACTGTACGGCAAAAAAACTGTAGCTTTGAGTCGGTAGCCTTAAAAAACAAAGTTGTGTACTTCGTTCATATTGAATTAGAGACAATGTCTTTTTTGGCGACTTAACAATAGAGTTTATTCTACTTTACTGCCCTTTCCATTGCTATGGTAAAACAAAAGACAGCTATGAAAGACGCTTAACAATAAGCTTAGTTGGACTCAGTAGATTTATTTTGAAATAATTAAGCATAACTTTGATAATAATTGTTGTGAAAGTATTAAAAATGTTAGTTTTGAAGTCTCGGATTATCTGTCTATTACCCAATATTTTGACAGTTAAGTTTTTTTTAACTCCATATATGTAGACTTCAGAATTTATTGAACATAAACAATAATTTAAAATGATTATTACTTAGGAGAAATTTACTATTATTTACACATATACTCCAGGCGAGTTGAAATTACAAGATTATTTTAATGATAAAACAGGTCTAGTTTATAGATGATGAATTGTATTATTTATGCTTTAGCAATGTAATCACGGACAAAGCTCTACTTATCAGTCATGCTACTTATTTACTCTGCACTTATTTTGATAGAAATCTATATATTAATACGTGAAGGAAAAAAAAATTGTATCCGTTTTTATGAAAGTTGCGCGGACGGAGGAGTATGAAATTTCCCACACTTATAGGAAATATAGAGGAGTGCCGAATGCTAATTTTTTTTTTAAATTATGCCTAAAAATACATTAAATCAATAAAAAAACATTACACACACTACCATGTGTTTGACGCACATACGCATGCATACTATTTATTTATTGTCAAACTTTTGTTCTTGACGTCTGTGGTCAAATTGAGAATAGATTAAATTGTTTGTCTTTAATAATATTTTTCTGTAGTGTAGTCTTGGCGAAACTTGTGATTATAGAAGTATAATCGTCTTTAACAATAGAATCATAATAGTGTACAAACTTATATTTCAATTAATTATAGTCGAATTTCGACCACTAGGAGATCATACTTAAATGCAATGCCATAACTGTGAAGCTTTAGATAAAACTTTGAAATGAACGCCAGAGATCTTTTGTTATGTTTCTGAATGCGAGTCGTCTCGAACTATTAATTAAGCCGCGGCATTCTGTAATAATTCAATGGTAGTTCTAGGCGAATGTTTCAGGATGCAACCCAATCCTGATTTGAGATTCAACTGCAATGAATGAAATTTTGATTTGGAACAAACCTTTATGCTTGATGATAGTTGTTACTTGAGTGTATTATCCTTTATATATTTTTTGATAATTATTTTGATAATAAGGACATTGCGATTTCCTCTCGAGTTTCAATTAATAAAAAATGACAAACGGTCTTACTTGTAAACTGTGATAATTCTAATTATGGATTTTGTAAACGGACCTCACATGAATCAAACGATTTTTTTTTGGTCATAACATAATAATGTGGTATTTATAAACAACGTAGTAAAACTAGACCACTCACGGTGTGTGCTTATTTCTCATTACGTGCCAGCAGATTTTCTTTGAAAATTCTTTCAAACAAAACTGCTGGTGACAATTACAAATACAATAAAAAGGGAATCAGCCAAATCGATCGAGCCATTCTCTCCACAACGGCTTTTGTAAATAGCTAATGATAGAAGCCTTTGATCTTTTTAAATTATCTTATTAAAATAAATAAAATACAATATTTTTTATTGCTTAGATAGGTGGACCAGCTTATAGCCCACCTGGTGTTAAGTGGTTACTGGAGCCCATAGACATCCACAACGTAAATGCGCCACCCACCTTGAGATATAAGTTCTAAGGTCTCAAATATAGTTCCAACGGCTGCCCCACCCTTCAAACCGAAACGCATTACTGCTTTACGGCAGAAATAGGCAGGGTAGTGGTACCCATCCGCGCGGACTCACAAGAGATCCTACCACCAGTTACAACAACTCAAAAGAAGCCAATAGCGAACCATATTGCTGATGGTTTTCTTTCTATATCAGCGATGGTGTCCACATCAAGCCCGTGTCATATGTATAGGTTCGTTTAGCCATATTCACAGTCAGCCGGGCTAATTAACATTGAGCTACCAAATAGAGTCTGGATGAGAAAGGCAAGAGACCGAAGAGAATGGGGTGCATTCGAAGAGACCTACACTCAGCATTGAGTGGACACGGGTTGAAGAAGAGAAAGAGAGAGAGACCAAATAAAACATTAATGTTTTAGATAGCATTGCAAACGAACCCGTGTACGAGTATATAATTCACCGTGCCTAAACGAAACTACTTCTATTCGCTTACCTTATGTTTAATTAGTTTGACCTGAATCATAACTTTCCTAATACAGTGTTTTAGCTTTGCGAAAACGCTGAACTAGGATGGAATATATGTATATAAACGAAAAAACCTTAAAATGTTTGTATGTTAATTCGTTTTTTATCTGTTTATTTGTAAGGTTGGTCAGAATATAATAATTCTAGAATTAGATGTGCCCATTGTATCAATAGGTTTATTTTGATCAGCCACATTCAGCAATAGGTTTATTTTAACAACAAACCAGAGAAAAACATCTAATCAAAAGATTATTAATAGAGAGCAAAAAATTTAGCAGTATAGAGTGTTTTAGCTTTTCGCCGGGAAATTCTGACAGCCGCGACCGACGTAACCATTTTCAGAAAGCTCGTATGCAATCCTCGGACGAATTTGAAATTTCACGTTGTTTTTATGAAAAGCCAATTCTGATCTAACCAAATATTCTTGTAAAAGCAAACAGTTTTTTTTTTACAAAACGAAAATACAATTAGCACAGTTAATATACAATATGCATTATCGGTCGGGCTGATAATTAGTCGTAGCGTAAGTAAGTTTTTGTTAGTCGTAAAAATAATAAAAACTACTATTGGTTTAATCTCGCATTAATTTCTATTTTATTACTTCTGAATTCGGTTCGTCGGTGTTTGATTATTGTCCACAGTATTTGTTGAAGTAAAAGTAGCATTTAATAGGCTAGACTTGGACACCTGAGCGCATATTACCAATCAATCCTGTACGGCTATGGCAGTGCTCAAATCTCGCAAGCAGGATCCGTTGTTTCTAATGCTGAATAACTTTTAATATGTTATCTTCTGGACCTGCACGGATAGGTACACATTTTTTTCGCTGCAGTGGTTGGACGAATATCATACAAGAAATCTGTCACTTGTCTCAAATGGAATTTCCACATTCAAGTTACGTTTATCACTTGTTACTATTCATTCTATTTCACCCGCCTATTTTCTACCGTGAAGCAGTAATGCGTTTCGGTTTGAAGGGTGGCGTAGCCGTTGTAAGTATACTGAGACCTTAGAACTTATATCTCAAGGTGGGTGGCGCATTTACATTTTAGATGTCTATGGGCTCCAGTAACCACTTAACACCAGGTGGGCTGTGAGTTCGTCCACACATCTAAGAAAAAAAAAAACATTTGCAAGCGGAGAGTTTGGGATTGTTAAAAACAATAATGTTGAAACTTTAGTTTTATTACTAGTAATCAACCCGTCCGGTTATCATTAAACAGGAACATGTGGAATGTGTGGCGCACGGTGCTGGAAGAGAACGAGAAGCTAGCACGCGCTCGTCTCGCAGCCGTCGAAGTGTTCCAACAGCACATCACCGATGAAGCGAAGCTGCTCCGACACCAGAAGCTCAGCTCTGCTAGGAAGGTAAAATCTTTGTTTACTAAACAGACTATACATTTGTAATAAAAATGTCATACAGCGCAATTTGTAGAATCAATCAAACTTTATCAGTCAATTATGAAATACTATGTAACACTACCAAATTCTGCACTGATTCGTTTCTCTCTCTACAATGATGTTCATTCTAACGTGAGGTAAGTACGCTAAACATAAATTCTTAGCTAAGACATAATAAAATTATACTTATACACAAAACCTAGATAAACAGTATGAAAAAAACGAATACCAACAAAACGTACACATTTATTTTCTCACAAAATTGAAACCTTTGGCGATGCCGTGTGGAATGCACTCAGAAACAGTTCGCCTCCGCGTCCCATGAATACAGTTGTAACGAACTATATTTAAAAAAGCGCGAGAAAATTTAAGCGTTTTTTTTCCCGTCGAAAATATCACTTGTGACGTGAACGCTTTTACCGTGTCTCGGTCGGCAGTCCGACGGAAACAATAAAAAGTACTCGGTTGATTGCCGGCTAAAAGTTCATAAAAGGTATGAGCCGTCACAATGGCGCTGAGCTACACAAAGGAATAGATTTCACATCGCTGAACCGAAAGATTTAGCTGAAGGATTATAAAATATTTGTTCTTCAGGAATTTGTCTAATCTTATCTTATCTTCTTGTCTATATAACTAGTCAGGTCATAAGTATTGTCACACAGTAAAAACTTTTCTTTTAGAATGCTGGCCACAAAAAAGTTTATTGAATTGAAATTTCGAATTGTTCATGAAAATAAAAATGTATACTTTTAGAATTTTATTCATTTTTAAATATGGAGTGGACGCTTAAAGAAGACCGTGTTGCAGTTATTGCGTTGCATCGTTGCGGTTACGCGCCAATTCAAATTTTTAACATACTGAAAATTTTGAATATAACCAAAAGATTCGTTTATCGTTCCATCAAACGATACAATGAAGACTCTAGTGTAGATGACAGGTCAAGAAGTGGTCGCCCTCAGTCTGTTAGGACTCCAGCAGTGATAAAAGCTGTGAAGGCGCGAATTCAAAGAAATCCCAAACGTAAGCAGAAACTGTTGGCCCTTCAGATGGGGTTAAGCAGAACCACGGTGAACGGGTCTTAAATGAAGACTTAGGGCTTCGGGCATATCGAAAAAAAACAGGACATCGTTTGAATGCTCGTCTAATGGACCTGAGACTGAAGAGATGCCGCGCTTTGTTGAAGCGGTACGCGGGAAAAAAATATCGGGAAATTCTTTTTTCGGATGAAAAATTTTTTACTAGCTACAACAAACAAAATGATAAGGTGTACGCACATAGTAGTGACGAAGCGAGCAACCCTATTCCGCGTGTCCAACGGGTCATTTTCCATCCTCGCTCATGGTATGGTTGGGAGTTTCTTATTGGGGCTTAACAGAGGTACATTTTTGTGAGAAAGGTGTAAAAACGAATGCAGTTGTGTATCAAAATACAGTCCTGACGAACCTTGTGGAACCTGTTTCTCATACCATGTTCAATAACAGGCACTGGGTATTCCAACAAGATTCGGCGCCAGCTCATAGAGCGAAGAGCACACAAGACTGGCTGGCGGCGCGTGAAATCGACTTCATCCGGCACGAAGACTGGCCCTCCTCCAGTCCAGATTTGAATCCGTTAGATTACAAGATATGGCAACACTTGGAGGAAAAGGCGTGCTCAAAGCCTCATCCCAATTTGGAGTCACTCAAGACATCCTTGATTAAGGCAGCCGCCGATATTGACATGGACCTCGTTCGTGCTGCGATAGACGACTGGCCGCGCAGATTGAAGGCCTGTATTCAAAACCACGGAGGTCATTTTGAATAAACTTTAGTGTCATAAGAATCTATGTTTTGTTAAGTTCATTTTGGTATATGAATGGTTACATAATGAATAAACTTGTTTCAATTATTTTACATTAAACATGTGACAGAATTTATGACCTGACTAGGTATATATATATAAATGAATTGCTGTTCGTTAGTCTCGCTTAAACTCGAGAACCGCTGGACCGATTTGGCTAATTTTGGTCTTGAATTATTTGTGGAAGTCTAGAGAAAGTTTAAAAGGTAGATAAATATAAAAATGCTCGGAATTAATTAAAAATAACTATTTTGTTTGTTTTTCATTTGATGTGTCCCCCGTAGAACGGATTCCTTTTGTTTGTTTTAAGTTTATTTTATAAAAGTTTAGGTCTTTTATTTCTCGATTGAGGCACTACGAAGTCTGCCGGGTCAGCTAGTAAGTAAATAAATATAAATTAAGAAGAACAAATGCTAAATGTTATTTATAGTATCTACTTAAAAATGGAGCTCCATTAATCGAAATGATTATTTAAACATAGTTTGAGAAACATCATTTCCTTATTAATTAGATGTGTAGGATTTCGAGCACTGTGATAACCACAGGTCAATTTTATTGGGAAGTTTTCAATTTTAGACCTCGTTCAACGTTTAGAATTTGTTTAAATATGAAAATCGAAGGTGCAAACTAAATTACTAAAAATACTAAGGTAGTGTTTATTACGCTGGGCCGAGAGCCGTGGGTTCGATTCAGACATACATTCAGGTGACGAACACATTTGTTTCCTCTTGCGTGGATGATTAATATTCATATACTAGCCGTACTCGCCCGCTTTGCTAGGCATTTAAAAATAACATTATTATTTATTGTCATTATTATTAGGGAGTCCAACAGTCATATAAATATAGCCTATCCATTGAGTACATGTATTTTCTACATGGATACCAAGTTTCAAGTCAATCGGATGCATGGTTCAGTAGTTATAACGGAACATCCGTAAAAACCACTGTAGATTTATATATTAGTATATATTTGAGGCCAGATGACGGTGCGCGATTGATTTATGATTTTTATTTATTATTTTGTTTTAGAACTGCTGAGTCTTTAATGTAACTAATATCGATTACATTGTTTAGTTATGAGCTAAATATAAATTCTGTAGCAACAAAATAAAATAAGGAATATCGCATTAAATTGTATTTTTTATTAAAAAAAAGGTGACACCTAAAGCAAGCCTTACATGAGCAATTAAAAAAAAAAATTAAAATTTAAAAAATTTTAAAACTTTTAAAATAACTAATATTCTCTATTTCCAAAAAGACGTTTCCAACATAGCCTTTAAACAGCTAAAACTTATAATTAATTATTATGTTTACAATATCAATAAGTTATAACTATGATATGCATCGATGATTCTTCTACCAATCGTATTGTGAAAAAATATGCCTCCGTAGTTTTGAGCAGATCACTCGGTTTTAACGAAATTAATCCTTTGCGAATTCAACGTTTTAATAACATGAAAGGTTTTTTTTCTATTGATGCATATCGCTAAATCCGCACAGTAATCTGAAGAGTCGTAGTACGAAGCAAAATATGTCACATAAACATTTAGGTACATGATATACTCAATCTTGGCTTGAAACTAACGTTCCGGACTTTATAAGAGCTGAAGACTGGCCCTCATCTAGTTCAGACCTCAACCCTTTAGACTTCAAATTATGGTCAGTTTTAGAGGACATGGCCTAGTCTGAATGAGAGACATTGAGTCTCTTAAAAAATCTTTGGAGCAAGCAGTGGCGAGATTCGTAGCCAAACCGATTAAAGGCCTGTATAAAAATCAAAGGTGGCCATTACAAATAGAATATGTTTTTATTTATTACTGTGACTTTAATAAATATGTAGGTATAAATTTTAATAATATTACATTACTTCATTAAAAACATTCATTTTCATTTATAACAGAACTTATGGCTGGATCAGGTATACTTTTTTATGATTTTATCGACTTAACTATTCAATTTGGTCCGTATTACGAATTTACATAGGACTCATCATTCATTATATTATATACTATTTGATATCCAATCATCATTCATAGTTTACAAAGTTATAATAGTAAAGTTCGCGTATTAATTGGATTATTCGCCGTACATTGCTATTTTTAATAGTTGGTTTTTTTTTTTATTTCTTAGATGGATGGACGAGCCTCACAGCCCACCTGGTGTTAAGTGGTTACTGGAGCCCATAGACATCTACAACGTAAATGCGCCACCCACCTCGAGATATAAGTTCTAAGATCTCAGTATAGTTACAACGGCTACCCCCCCTTCGAACCGAAACGCATTACTGCTTCACGGCGGAAATAGGCGGGGTGGTGGTACCTACCCGTGCGGACTCCCAAGAGGTCCTACCACCAGTGATTACGCAAATTATAATTTTGCGGGTTTGATTTTTATTACACGATGTTATTCCTTCACCGTGGAAGTCAATCGTGAACATTTGTTGAGTACGTATTTCATTANGTACCTACCCGTGCGGACTCCCAAGAGGTCCTACCACCAGTGATTACGCAAATTATAATTTTGCGGGTTTGATTTTTATTACACGATGTTATTCCTTCACCGTGGAAGTCAATCGTGAACATTTGTTGAGTACGTATTTCATTAGAAAAATTGGTACCCGCCTACGGGATTCGAACACCGGTGCATCGCTACATACGAATGCACCGCACGTCTTATCCTTTAGGCCACAACGACTTCCAAATTTTGGATTTTGGATGTTTTTTATGTTCAAAAAAGAGTTTAGCTTATAGAAAAATCTGAGAAATTTAACTATGAAATGAATGTCTTTTATCAATGATACTTCTAGATATGATATCACTACACACATGGAAGTTGGCAGATTATTTTAAATGAATTTAGATGATCGTGATATGAATACTAATGAATTATATGATACCAACAATACTAGTCATCTTAACTATATATCCCTGACCTTTCATTTACTGTGTTCAGTGAATTAGTTCGAAAATTTTCAGCGTTAAATTATCACATCAAGTATATATATAGAAGTACTGGGGAGATGCTCGGAAAATGTATAATAAATAATACACTATAATTCTCCCTTGACATTTATTGTACGACATCGGCACATTTTAATATCTGGAAATTCTATTTCTAAAAATATCT